TATATCTGAGGGTTAAGAAAGCAAACGAGAAAGAAGCTTAAACCACCGCGATTTCACAATCATATTTATAAGCAGCATCCCCATATGTAGCCTGAAGGCACATATTGGCGTCAATAACCAACTATCCCAAACGCTTAAGCTCTCAACAAGAGGCCAGATATAGGCTATAACTTTATTAACATCTCTAATATTTTTCCTCGTGCAAGAGCCCTTAATGCTTGAAAGTTAGACACAGCATAAACTCACGAAACCTCATAGCTCCCGGATGCTTAAATCCTATGAGGAAGTCTCATGACTGAATTGTTTTTTTCCCCTTAATATCTCTCGCAACCCGGTTCAGCTTTTAACAAGTCTAACGCAATTTAAGCCCATGAACTGTGATTGTTCCAATGTAAAGCATGATATAGCCCCCCTTCGCCCCAACAAAGTGTAAAATACAAAGATGAAAGAAACCTTTCATCAAGCAAAGAGATTCCGACAAGCCAAAAATGCTCTCCATAGAAGAAATGGAGTTGAAGAAAACGCAAAACATAATTGAGTACCTTCTTCATGCGGGTTTTGATTTCGGATTTTCGGGCCTTGTTATAAACCCGGCGTTTCTCGGCCTGGCGAGCTCTCTTTGCAGCCGAATCGGCCTTTCGCTTCGGAGCTGCGTCACAGACCACGGAATGCCGAATCGACCTACTTTGTAATGTGCTCAGTGACAAGCAACCTGAAAGCCAAACAAAAACCCAGAATTCAAACTCCACCATATCACATTCTACGCATTCTTCAGCTGAAAATACGGAAGGAAAAAGAACACAATTGAACTTGCCAAGGGAATTAACAAAAAGTGCGAGAGAAAAACAATACCTTCCGAGAAGACGTTATAAGAAAGACTTCTGGAAAAGCTAAGAGAAGCGGAATTAGCTGGAGAAGAAGTGGAAGTAAGCGAAAGGGTTCTCATTTTGGAGGGAAGAGTAAGCCATGAGCATGAAACAGTTGCCATCCCTCTTCCTTATCGCAGAGCTCTGCGGGCAGCTCTCTTCTTCCTCTCTCATTATCCCTTATCGTCAGTGCTCGAAACTTCGAATCACATTTACAATACTACCCTCGACTTGGTGAATTTTTTAACAATTTTTTAATGTGTTTTTTAAAGATGGAGAATTTTGTTTCCAATTTTTTTTTAATAAAGGTGATTAAAGAGAAAATTAGAAAGACATTAACTGTATTTAATCAACCAAATACGAGGGAAGACACTTCATGTCTTTTCTTAGACCTTTCCCTCCAAGAAGAGATTTTTGTTGAAACAGAAAAAAGTCTTGTTATAATCTTTGTTTCTCTATTGATTCTTCTTTTAAAGAGAGGAAAATCTTGTTCATAAAGATAAAAAGTATACTATTAATAAGTGTTAATTAATAAATGGAAATAGTATGCCCGCTGCAATTTGGTATAATTCATCACAGGGTCTGATTAATATAGGATTTCATCATTTTAGAGTAGGATTTAATATGTGCAATATAAATCCTTACCAAATATATATATAAATATATATCTATAATGCCATATAAAAAGTTTCCTTTCGCTGGTCAATATAAAAGGTTTCCTTTCGACCAAAAAAATGCACAAAAACGTCCTCAGCGGGTGCCGTCTTTCCTGGCCCAACCCAGAAATGATTAACCTGTTCAAGCCCAGTACCTTTTTTCTTTTGAAATATGAATCTCATCATCAATGTGATCATTATCATACTCCAAATACGCCCATTTTGTAAAAAGAAAAAATGCAAAGTTTTTTAGGAAAAAATGTTATTTGTAAACATAATAAAAAAATATATTTCAAAAAGAAATGAGGCAGTGGATGCACAGTAATGAACAATAAATAACATAATTTCTTGCGTAAATCTTATTAGATTTTTTTTTCTTGTTTTCTGTGGATGAACTTATTATGCTGATTTCATTTTTTTTTCACCAGTTGATTTTTTGTTGTTAATCCTACTCCAATTCCACCCTGCTCTAGAAAAGTTCAATTAGGGTGAAAATCCACACCATAAGAAGAGCTGATCAAGGTGGCGCTGCTTGTTATAGTTCCATCAAATTTTGAAGGAGTTAAGTTCCAACCTCAAATTTTTGTCAATTCACCCCCCCCCCCCGGGTGTGAAAATTGGCATGGAAGTAGAGCATTTCTAAGGGCCCAGGAACTATTCAAATGTTGCATCGTAACTCACAAGTAAAGGGGCATAAAAGGTGGATTTTGAAATACTTTATCTCATCGCAGAAGGAAAGCTCAAACGGGGTAAGTAAGCGTAAATTCAAGGACCAATGAAGAAGAAGAAGATGGAAAGAACAGAGCCCAAGTACTAATCGTGCTTTCTCTGTTTCCAAGCTTGATGATTCCCTTGTGTTTGTAGAAATGCCAAACCCTAGCTTTTGGCGTTTGGACATTAGCACCTGCCTATTATTCTTTGCCTTGTTATATCAGACCCATCACAAAGCAGGATAAGCCATGATGCACATATATTGCTAGGAAAAAGCTTCTCTCTCTCTTTTGTTTGAGACCCACCAAATGTTTGTGAAAATGTCCAAAAGTTTTTGCATTCAAACGTAGTACCTCGCGTGCCATTCCATTTCTATGTTCAACCGCAGCTGGCTCATCCTGCTCCCTTCTGCGTCTTGTTCTATGGCCTAAGGTCTCACAGACTCGCCCCCACCATCCATATCTGGTACTGTACTCATTGCCTTCCCAATCATGCACAGATCACACCCCCAATTTTCAACCTTAATGTACCTTAGGGTCCACTGACCATTTCATCATCACCATCATTATCATCTTTGCACCCCCATCACAGCCTTCCACGTGGCTCGTCCAAAGTACTAGAGCATCATGATGCTCTGCATGAGTGGCTCTCTTCTGCAACCACCCGGTCTGTTGAATGGCGGGAGCAGAGCAGACGAGGACGTGTGTTTTGTTGTTGGGAATTAACAAGTCATGGCCTTCAGTGAAATGCTTCAATGGAAGTGTTTCCTTATTGAAACAACCATCCTCCTTCTCCATTTCTGTGAAAGTCACAAGGTTGCTAGGTGATTGTAATGATTTGTTTGCTATTTGGAGTGTGTTGTGATCCCTATATAACTGATCACCCTTTGCCTTGTGATTTTTTGGATGATGCTGAATGATGACCCCCACAACATTGTCTTGTTTATGTTGCCTGATTAAAAAAAAAAATACAAACCATCCAAGATGAGATTTCACATTATACTAGCTTTAATTAACCACGAAAAGTACGGATAATTCTCTTGTATTTAAAATAAGCGATAGACTTCAGTGTAGAACTTGTTGGGATATGAATATTCTGTTAATAAGATTTAACACAAAATCTGCATAAGTATCTATTTCTCCAGCATGAGACTGCTCCTTGGAAAGGGGGAAAAAATATAATTGGTCGCCCTTAATTTGCCTTGTGAGTTATTATAATATACGACGCTCCCCATTTGTTTCAGCATGTATGACTCTTATATTTGGCAAAAAGAAAAGAAAATGACTGATCACGCTTGAACTTGTGATCGATGATAGTCCAAGATACTTCCAACCTGCTGATTTAGATTGCATAATATAAGAATAATGTATCATTCCAAATCCCTGTGATGTAATGGCTCAATAATCACAAAGGGAAAGAGGGTACATTTCTAGCACTGAATATTTATCAGTAGGCAGTCCAAATAGTAAAATTCATTACTGAATGCTATAGTTTACTTAGCAAACGAGTTCTGATAGATTTATCTTTCATAAATTTAAATGCAAAGAATATATGGGCAAACGTCAAGAGAATTTAATTTACATGTCTGCTTGATGCTGCATTTCAAAGAGAACATTGATTACCAATACCAAACCCATAATCCAACCTGTCATATGTTATGCAGATTTTATCCTTCCATGGATATGGGCGGTGTCATGTGCTTCCAACTCTTTTTAAGCAGTTACAGAATTATTTGGAGTCCCCACAGAGAAGAAAAAAATGTGAAGGGGGAAGACCCGAAGGGGTTGGTGCATTTAATTGAAGTGTGTGAGTGGTGATATGGTATAGTTTGGATTGATGGGGAGGCCTGCCCTGCCCGCTGTGAAAGGTTGCAGAAGAAAAAAGGAAAAGCAAAGATAAAAAAAGAAAGAAAGTGAACAGAGAGAGCATTAAATTTGTCCCTTCCCAAGTAGGGTTGGTGCAGCGACTTAGGCACAGTAAGTCCCTCAGTCTAAAATCCTAGACTCAGTCTCAGTGCCCCCACGTGAAAATGAACCAGAGCCACCCCTTCTTCCTCTTCTTCCTCCTCACAGGACCATCCTCTGTTTCACTTTGTACGTACCACTTTCTTCCTTCTTCTCTTCTTCAACTGCCTATTAAATGATGCTGTTACTTGTTGGGCAAGACCGAAACGTTCAAACTCTCTGATCTTTTATCCATCTGGGTTAAATCATCCAACTTAATAATAACCTCTCCCAGTCACAGTCTCTTTCTTCTTCCACTGCTAGTCTTTATCCCCTTCTTACGTACATCTAAGCTTGATATATATGTGAACAATTTTGTCATAAATTTTGTATTAAAAGGTAAATGTCTTGGCCGAACTAGTTGCGTGGTAATGATTAATGATTCTTGTTTCTTCTATTTTTCCATCCAGTGGTTCATTACCTCTTGTATAACAACACATTTATGACCGGAGGGTGAGTATATGGTGCGAGATTAGTCTCTATATTATCAACGCATATTCAAACCATACATCTCTTCATGGGGATCTGTCTGAATATGCTGTTATTTTTATATCTAAAAATGTTCGATTTGGAAGTTAACTTAGTTGAATTGGCAAGGGATTCGGAAATTATTATTAATTAGAAGTCACTATAAAATAAATTTTATGTTTAGAATCTGAGCTATTATACCGTGAAGTGAATATATAGAGGTGAAAGTGTATTTTCATAGTAAACTATGAACTGAGTATGAACATAATCTTTTCTTTTTCAAGAGTAAGAACATCATGAGCATGACAAGTATAAGAACCTGGCTTCAGTACTGACATAAGTGCTAAATATCAAGAATAATGTAGTATGCCATCGGAGTGGGGAACAAATGAAAATTTCACTAAATTGAAGGGAAAATGAATGGAAAAAAAAGGTTAGTTGTCATTGAGAAAACCAACAAAAAGTACAAAACAAAAATGATTGTCAAGTTAACGAAATTACTAAAGCTTTTAAGTCGTTTCCAAAGAGACGTTGGTTCATATTTTGATCCCATTAAAGCCGACACCATAATAATACTCAGACCAGATAACCTCTTGAGCAGATCATCACCAAAATCTATTGTCGAGTTCTGTTGCAAAAAGTTGCCAAATGATCCTGCGCTTGTACAACAATGAGTGGAAACATGATGCTTTGATTTTATATATATAATAATGAATGGATCTGATTCATAACCCCGATAAAATTGACAGCACCAAAACATCCTTAACAATAACGTACATTAAAACTCGCTAAAATCTAGAAACGCTCGAAAACATCATCAAACCCACAATAATAGAAACATACATAGATTTCAGGTCTAATCCCCTATCAGTCAGCTAAGACATAAAAGTCTAATGGAAGACCTAGTAGCCACCCCACACGTAATCAAGCTCCGACGGACACAGCGCCATGCCAGAACCACCACCCGCTACAGTCTGCTCCTCCGGCTTGGCCCATCCGTTCATGTCTCCACCGGAGCCACCGTGAGCTATGGCCGGAGGTAGAAAAGGCAGTTGAAGATTCTCCTGCAGTGACCTCAGGCTTGGAAACGCAGGCACACCAACGTTGTTCTGGAATCGAGCAAAGGGGTCCAGAGCTATTTGCTGCGGCGGCGGCGGCGGAGGAGGAGCAAGTTCATAGCTAACATTGGGGAGGTTGTTGGCGGCAGCAGACGCAGAGAATGTGGAGAAACAGGACACGTGCTCCCTCGGAGTAGTGCTGCTGCCGTCATAGGAGCAGCTGTCACGGTCGTTGGCGGCGGCGTAAGGAGACGAGTCAAGCAGAGGAGGTAGGTAAATGGAGGATGGAGAACTGGGTTCTGGGTAGAGGCTCATGTTAACAGAAGAGCTCATTCTTGAGTTAGTCTTCTTGGAGCCACTGGCGGAAGACACGGCGGAGCTGCCGTTCCCAGAGGAGAGACTCTTCTGGAAAACACGCGAGATGACCCATTCATCCTGATTCATCAAAGGAGAACCATTTCAACTTAGCATTATCAGCAACAAAAGGGCTGAAAGAAACTGAACAATTTGTCAGTGCATGCTTCTAAAAGAATTAAAACCCCACAATAAATGATGCTGCATGAGCATATAAAACAAGTAACTGTTTGTAAGCAAAATCTGACTCTCAGGATCTTCTGAGTCTCAGCAGCAGTATTATTTGGCAAAGAGAAATAAAACGGATAATGCAGTGCTTAGTTATAATAACACTTTGTAGTTTCCATGCAGAGTATTTGATGAACCGTTGGGCATTATCAAGTCACTCCTTGCTACACCTTTACGGCCTGTACAGTTTAGGCAGATGAGTGAAGAAAACAGCTTTACGATGGGCCAAAAAGTACATTGCCCTAGACGAGAACCAAGTGTTCAGAAGAATCGGGATAAAAAGGTTTCATGCATTAACAACAGTAAAAGAACCCTAATTAATATAGACGCCAAAGGGAAGCAAGATTCCACCGTGTTGTTGAACTTTTCTGCAGTACTGAGGGAAACAACGTTCTGAAAGAAAAGGAAGAGTGAGAGAGAATGAGAGAACAACCTTGGAGCTGCGTGAAAGGTAATGATAAGCAAATTTTCCTTCAAGACGATACTCATGCATGACCCAGTTGCTCTTTTCGCCTTTCGGAGCCCTACCTCGGTAGAAAACCAGAGTCTTCTTCATGCCCACGAGACAGCAAGTTTTGGAGCTATAAATCTCCCTGTCTTTTCCAGTGGCCTTCCAGTATCCAGCTTCTGTAGCCCTATTAGTGCGCAGGCCAGTTGGGTACTTTCGGTCTCGGAGGCTGAAGAAGTACCACTCTTTCTCACCCATCTTCGCCTTCTCTGCCAACATAGAGAAACATGAATTCAGAAGTTGGCGCATAGAGGTATCATATTCATCAACTCTAACTACTTCACGCTGCAAAAGAAAAACAGAAGCTGAAAATGAAGACTAACCAGGAAGCTCCCACGGCTCACACTTGTTAAGATCAACTTCAGCAATGGCTCTTCCTGTGAAGGTGTTGTCAAGAACCTTCTTGAGGAGGTAAAAAGTAATGAGCTCCTCATCAGTTGGGTGGAAGCGAAACCCAGGAGGCAGATGGGCATCACCGTTATCGACACGGAAGTAACAATCCATCTCAGCTGGCAGACAGAAACAGAAAAACGTGGAGAGCTTTTGAAAGAAACCCTGAACGAGAATATTGGCCCTAACAGCCAAATGGACTCAATATATATAATAAGCAAAGGAAACAGAGGAGAGAAGAAGTTGACAACTTCGGTTTCTCAGTTTCCCTATTTGCTGGGATATGGAGTTTTGGGGGGATGGGTGGTTTATAAGGGGCTTTTTTTTGTCATGATGGGGATTTGATGAATCGAGGGGCAGGCAGAAAAAGGCCAAGAAATAATAATAAGGGAGGACGCATGATATGATATGGCTGGAAAAAAAAACTTTAAAAAAAAATCTGTGTTTTCTCCTCTCTCTCTCTCTCTCTCTCTCTCTGTGCACTGTGCTGTCCTGTTCTGTTCCTAATCTCTCTCTCTACTCTGCCACGGTCCTTATCATAAAACCCCATAGCTAGAGAGAGAGTGAGAGGGCTCCCCCTGGGCTCTGCTTTGAGTATGCGTGCGTGCGTAGTAAGTGTGCAGGTATTCCGCTGTCAGTGAGGAAAACGAGCGCGAGGGAACAGAAAGGAGTTTTATTATTATTCATGAGAGAGAGAGAGAGAGAGATGGACATAAGAAGAGAAAAAAGATTTATGTGTCTTTGCAATTAACAAGAACAGGATTACAATTAAAAAACAGGGAGAGATTTTCACCTTATATATATCGATAAAGCTGTTTCATATCTTCTTTGTCAGCACAGTACAGAAAATTAAATATTCAGATACAGCAACCAAAGCCAAGTTTATTACACGCCAACTTCTTCTCCTTCTCCTCCAACCCACCCGTCTCTTTATCTCTCTCTCTTCTTTGAAATTTTCATAGCTTTCAACTTGTGATTCACTGATGATTATTAGCGCTTTTTCTGGGTATGTGGTGCAGTGCGTTCTGAAGAGTTCTTGAGGGAGGTGGCTGGGTATATCTCTGAACCCGAAACGGGGAGGATTTTGCAAAAGGGTTTTGCAGTGGCAGGAACCAAGCAAGGCCCCAATCTAATAATATGGTTTCGCTTTTTCATCACTGATGTTTTGCAGTTACTTTTGCTAGTTATACGGGACTGTTTTTGTGCAAATGATGTTACTGTCACACCCTCTGCAATGCAAACGCAAAAGACAAATAGATTCTCCTTCTCAATGCCTTCAATAAATGCTACCCAAAACAAATAAAATAGAGCCTTCAGATTTCAAACACAAACCACCGTTTGCTTTTAGAGAATTATAAGTCTTAATAAAAAAATAATTATTAAAAAATCTTAATAATAATTTAATCAGTATTTAATAACAAATTTTAAAATAGAGGATAACAGACTCCTTTCATCTTTTTTTTTCCTTTCAAAATTCAAGTTTTTTTTCTTTTTCTTAATTTTAATTTTTTTTTTTTGAAAGACTGTGTTGAATGATTGAGAGTTTTATTTTAAAAAATTGTTACGTGTGGCACAGGAGTTGTTGAGAAAACCTGAAAGGTGGCCAACTGCTGATTGAGGGACTCAGTATATAACTCAGCTAGTCTAATTTATTGTAGCCTCGTCCTGTCTTTTTCAATAATGTAGTAATTGTTTTTCTGTTTGCACAAGTTTTGTTTTTTTGAGTTGAGTCGGGTATTTAATTTTCATTCTTAAGCCTTTCTCATAAATTCCGACAATATTTTTGGTTTCAGTAGGGAGGATATAATATTCTGTATTTAACTTATATTTCACTCAAATAAAGATAAAAGTACCCTAGGAATCCTAGAACGTAATATCGAAATTAAGAAGCTGAGATGGAAATTAAAAAAAAAACACAATTATAAATATTTTTTTAACATTTTTAACTTGTATATTTTGCTTTTCGAATTCAGCTTCAACATATAGTTTGAGATTTCCAAGTTCGCTTTTCATTATTTTTACGTGAGGAGGGCGTGTTTACCAGTTGCTTTTCTGTTTTTGAGTGTGCGTAAATAATCAAGGTCCTTCTATCACATGAGTTTTAAAGTGACTTGTTTAATTCTTCACTATTACGTATTCCGCTAAGCTACAGAATTATTCTTCAGTTAGCAAATGGTCTGCTCACATTCGGGTTTGTTTGAAATCGCGGCAGCAACTCTTAAAAACATTTTTTAATTATAATTTATAAAATAGATGTATGAGCGAAATTTTATTCGATTGACGTAAAAATATTTATAAACATATAAGAAAAGCATACATAAGGCTTTCATATGAGTGTTCGGTATTTTCTCAGAAAAATCATTTTTACACTTCATGAAACAATTCTTTATAGGAAAAATGATAAATAAAGACTCCTAAATTATCCAAATTACAAGTAGATAGATAATCTAAATAAGCCAAATTGTCATGAGGGATCGGTCCATATTATACATATGAAATTTTAGTGAAATGTCTGAAATACTCTTCAACCAAGTTGTGATTTGATTTACTAAAGTCGTCATTCGTTAAAGTGAATTTATTATTTCTTATGGTCAACTTCTCATTTGGTATACCCTTACCCAAACTGTGATTTGGTCTACTGAAGTTGTCATTCGCTGAAGTGAACTTGTTATTTTTTATAATCAACTTGTCATTTTGTTAATGGGTATTTTAGACATTTCACTAATATTTCATATTTATAATATGAGACCGAGTTTTTATTTACTATTTTTCAAATTGAGAGTCTTAAATTGTAATTTTACATGTTGGGAGTCTTTGTTTGTCATTTTTTCTTCTTTATTATACATATTTACTCTGCATAATATAAAATTTAAACCTTGCTAATGACATGAAAACTGTCCAGTAAATGAGAAGTTATGGGTTGATTGCTATTTATAATTTGAGGTCCTGGTAATTATCCTTTTAGTTTTAAAAAAATAGCACACTTTATATGTATACATGATATCCACAGGAGAAAAGAATTATTTTTTATCTGGTAATAATACAGGGCCCATGATTATTCACAGGAGTGATGTTCGTCCTTTCAATATCTCAGTATTTGCTATCGGTGGTCCCCCTTATTTCCAATATTTAGACATGCTCTGCTTAACAACAATTCAAAATGTCATAAAATGGGTCTTATATAGGAAGAATATATTCACATTAGTTAATTATGTTTTAGATTAAGAATAGAAGGAGTATTTGTGGACCCTACAAAGTTTATATATGATATTTGGATTTGTAGTTTGTGGACATCATAGATTATTTTGAATATAGTTTTATTTTTAGGGTTGATTACATGAGGTTTTAAGTAAAAAAAAACAAATTTTGAGATGTGTTTTATATATATATATATATTTGGATATCTGGTTATAATTTTTCCTTATTTTTATCATGGGTGATTAAAGTACGGACGTTGAGAAAATTGAGAGAATAATGGAAAGAGGAGGGTTGAGAAAGATGGAGGAGGTTGACTTGACCGACCTGTCTCCTGTGGCCATCATCCCCGCCCTCAAATTTACGCAGCGAGTGTTTTGCGTATTACTCTGGTTTTCTAACCACTCTCTCATTCTCTCTTATTAACAAATCCCTTCCTCTTTTTCTGCCCTTCGTACACTCTCTTAGTACCACCGTCCCTCTCTGTTTATTCTGTCTAATATAACTTATTTTATTCATCCGAGCAAAACCATGATTACATATTTTGATTTAGCATTCCGATAAATTTCACTGCTTCTTTTCCTTTTTGACCTCCTTCATATATGTGACGCTTTTTTATGAGAATAGAAGCGGGTTCAGCGTTCTAATTTTTTTTATTATGTATTTAGTATTTTGATTTTAATTTTTTGATGCATTTATCATTCTGAAGATTAAAGTGCCTGATATAACTATAAAAATAATATCAAAATACTGAATATACTAAAAAAAAATAAGATTATAATACTAAATGCATTGTATAAGAGATCAAAACGTTGAATGTACATTTTACTAACATGTACTACTTCCGGTCTTAATTATAACACTTAGTTGACTAATTTGGAAAAAAATTAATGAAGTATGTTAAGTTAGTTATTTGTAATAAATATGTGTTGTCTTTCTTAAAATATTCTTGTTAATCAAGTATATTAGCTAGAACTACCATTATTATAAGGGTTATGTTAGGAAAAAATATATAAATATAAGAGATAAAATGGATTAGAGTCTTATATTTAGAACCAAAATAAAAGTCAAATAAGGTCTTATATTAAGAACCGGAGGTAATATCGTAGTAAAGTTGATATCAAAGCCAGTACTCTTATTTTTATAGTTTAGCATTGATATATGTTAGTCTTTCTATGGATTCCTTAACTGTCGTTCTTTATTGATTATTAGTATGAGTGGGAATACTTTCATAGTAATGATTTTCTTCATGAGCAGTGCTTAACATAAAGCAGCCAAGCTGCACTGCTTTTAACTAAAGTTCAAATCACCAGTGCCCCTCGGCAGAGAATCGCCGGCACAAGTTCAAATCCTTTGCTTCATGAGGAGAAGAAAGAGAGAAAAGTTGGAAATATGGGAGACATAAGTTGAATCCGATCCCAATAATGTTTGATTTATGTCAACCCTTATTTTTACTCTGTACGAATCAAGGGTCCATGAACTGAATGTGTTTTCCTTATCAAGCTAAGTTACGCTATTCACGAGTTTTCATTCCATGATTTTAATAATTTCACGATCTCTCACTCACTCACTCCCCCCCTGCGCGTCCTCCTGACTTGCCCGTTGTTACGTTAAAAAACAGAAATGATGTGCATTAGAAAAAGGAAACAACTTATATATGGACACATACGCTTTTTCATATCAAATAAGCCTTTAAAATTACCACGGAACATTTGGGTCAATTGATATAAATTGACTCAGCTTAATCAAATGTTACAGGTTTAATTATTTGGAAATGCAGCAGTATAAATGTTGGGACTGCCGAATTCTATCATGATCTCATCTGAACTAGTATGATTTGTAATTTTTTAAAGTGTTGGCTAGAATTTTTGTGAAAAAAATAACAGTGTTCTGTATAAAATTCCAAAAGCAAACGATGATAATTTTATGTATGAGTTATTGCTTTGGTATAAATTTATACTTTTTATAAAACTAATCTCTATTAAGATAAGATTATTGAAATTAACTTGAGAGTTCCTACTTAAAGAGAAGAGCATTTATCATATCAATAAGTTATAAGACTATTGACACTCATGCAATAGTTGTTTTTTTCTTTTAACAATTCTACTTCGTCCTTATATGACATCCCGTTGTATTAATATTTATCCTGTCCTCAATATATAATTTAATTATTGATTTAATTTTGATTATAAATATAAGATATGTTTTTTATATTGATCAATTTTTTCTAAATTATTCTTATAGATCCCCTCAACTATAATCAAGTAGAATATGGAAAGAGGATATTAAGAAAGATGATTATGATGTTTTAGAAAAAACATGTCATATTTTTTATAATTAATTAACTTATTTAATTCTTTTAATCTAATTAGTTAAATAAATATTATATTAAGAATAAAAGAAGTAATATTTTTGCGTTTTATGGTGTGTGAATAACAATGGGAAAAAAATTGTGAGAGACTGAGGAAGGATTTAGATATAAGGAAATAAAAATAAGGAGGAAAGCAGAGATATGCCATCAAATCAGTCGAATCGAAAGCAAACGGAACAAGAACAGTGAGAGTGGGTAGCGTGATATGCTATGACCCGATTGATGCTCAATTTGACACATCACTGCTCCCCACCTTCCCACTTTGATATTCCCGATAATTACCCGACCCGACCCACATCGCCGTCGCTTTCGTCGCCGTCCAATCACCCGATTAATCTGAATTTGAGAGCCGCTTACACTAAGACAACTCATAAACTTCTTCCCAGGATGACACGTTTTGATTGATGGGTTGACCCGGTTCTTGTCTGCCCGGTTCGACTCCGCCGGAATTCAACCCCAGCTTTACTGCCTTCTGTCTTCACCAGTCACCCCCGCTCTCCTTCACTTTTTCTGCTCACAAAAATCAAAAGGAATCTCCCGCATTATTATTATTATTTTCTAAATAATTAACATTCATTAAATATGAATTATGTTAAAGAGGGGGTGGAAAACACAACGTTTACAAAGGAGCGAGGGCGCGTGGATCGAGGAGCGAGGGGGGGGGGAAGTGGCTGGGTGACGCGCGTGACGACAAGCTTAGGTCACAATCCGCCGCCCTCCGGCTACGGCGCTTCGGGGTTCGAGTCTGGGGGGCAGGGGGGTGAGTCAGGGGGCTCACCATTATAAATAACCAATAATTGTGTGGGGAATCTCCGACACGTGTCGTCTTTAAAACCGTTGGTTCGTCAAGAGGTTTAGGTTGGGTAAGGACCATCAGCGCCGTCCGATTCATTTATGGGGTGGCTGCTATCATGTCACCGAGACTAGGAGTTGTACTGCTTATTAAAGTCGTATCATTTTTACTGTCGCTTGGTTAACGCTCTGTTTGGATGTACTCTTCATGTTTTGAGTTTTGACCTCTTCATCATCCTACTCCCCCCCTAATTATTTCACCAGGTTTTGTTTGAGTATCTGTATTATGCCCGTCTCTTGATTGCCAATTTACTGACTCACTCTTGCATCTATGTTTTACTTTATTGAAATTATTTCAAATAATTTCGTCTTATATGAAATAAATATGCAAGTAGCCAACATCATATGTGTGTGTGTTTCAGCATCTATCTAAGCATGGCAAAGGTTGGAAGAAAAGAGTTTTTTTTTTCTTTACTGGGTTTGTTTGGATTGTCGTTTATAACAGCAAAAATATTTTGAAAATTGTAAAACCGAGGTTACAAATTGAGTTGGACAAAAAACGTTGTTTGACTGGACTAGCTTTTCTAACCAACTTCTGGCCTTCAACTTCGGTTGGACTCAACGGAGAAAAATTTGACTTTTCAAACTGCAGTTTCAAATAGTGATAATTAAAAATGAGCATTCCAGATTTACCTTCACATTTTCCCCTATGCTCCATCTCCTTTGTTAGCATAATGAGCTTTTATTCAGACCAATGAATTTTAATTTATATTCATGTTTGTCCATTATATATATTTAATTAATTATCTACAGTGTGTTTTCAAATTTTTTTCCGTAACAAATCTTTTTATTTTATAATTTCACAAATAAATTATTTATATTTTATCACAATAATTTTATGTATTTTTTTAAACTATTATCATATTAAAAATATAAAATTTCAAACATTACTATTCAATAAAATCCATGTTCTTTTCAGTCATTTTACATCTAAACTAACTTTTCTATTAATATCCAAACAACTTTTAACCTTTTCAACTGACTTTTTAGAAGCACCTATCCAAACACACCCTAAATGACTTTTATTCTAACTTAAATTACAAAATTTAATTGGGCTAGAAGTCAATTTCGTCAAATGCCAATCTAAACATACTCCAAAACGTGCTGAAATGTCGACAATTTTTTTTTTGTTGGGTAAAAGCCGAGAACCAATTCTTAAAACTTGCTTTTAACTTTCGAACAGAATCATGCCCACGTGATAAAGGCCCGAATGAGGTTCGAATTGAATGGACAAGGGCCTTCAGTTATTTTCTGATGGCCCAAATTCATCCATACCATCCTCAAAACCATTTTTTTAAAAATAATTTATTAACTATTTTTTAAAATGCGAGAGTGTACGATAGTACTCCTCCGGTCCTAATTATAAGACCCAATTGACTTATTTGAGGATATTAAGGAAGTAAGTTAAGTTGGTTATTTATAATAAATAAGTATTGTCATTCCTAAAATATCCTTACTAATTAAGTATATTGGCTAAAACTATCATTACTAGAAGGATTATCTTGGAAAAAAATGCATAATATAAGAGACAAAATGGATTGGGGTCTTATAATTAGGACCAAATAAAAAGTCAAAAGGGGTCTTATAATAAGGACCGGAGGAGTAGTATTATTTTCTTGAAAAAAAAACATAAGTGTTAAATTTTACGCTGTAAGGTACTTGTATTTTCAATTCAAAACTTTGACAATAAATTATCTTACATTTTTAAATTTAAAGACGTAATTAGTTAATTCGAGAAACCTCATACTTAATTAAAATGAGATTTTTTTTAGTACTACGAGATAAAACTTGTTTTAGATAAACTAATTTAGACATATACAAAGTTATTTATACAAAAATAAAGTATCAATTGTCAGTAAATACTACATTTTGTACCAACTTGTTGTTGGGATTTGAGATTTAGTTGACTAATTTAAAAAGATTACTTAATATATAATCATTTTGAAATATTTATATGCCATTCTCAGATTATATAATTTAAAAAACCAATAAACATAAATAATTTAAAGTAATTTTTTTAGTTTTCTCAATTTTTTTAAATTAATAAATTGATTCTTATATTACAACAAGAGGTAGGAAATTTTTTTTTTGGCCTGGTAGTAGTAGTTTATAAACTTGATTTAGCATAAATCATATTTTGATATATATATTATAAGTTACAATAAATAAAATTTATGACAATACATAATCAAGTTTCTTGAATAAACTATATTTTTTGTGTGTTATACTACAAAATAATGTGATTTTTAATTTAACTTTATATCACAGATTGGGCATACTATTGATTTTTGATGATACAATAATGATCCAATTTCCAAAGAATAAACATTTAACAAACACCAATTTTCAAAGAATATATCCATACTTCAGGCAAAAAAAAAGAATATATTTATAGAATATATTCATACGAAGTCTCATAAATAGTACGTAGTTATAGTTCCACACAATAAAAACGTAGGTACTAAGGGTCGGTGTTGGATGCGAGACGCTTGAAAAGGCGAGAGGAGAGCCGAGGAGTAGCAGAGAAATTCGTTCCCAACCTCCACAGTCAAGCTCGTTCATCTTCCTCTCTAGGGTTTCCTTTTATTCTCTGATTTTCGTTCGTATGGCTACAACCACTGGGCCAAGACGACAGCAGCACGGCAATGCGAGACCTGCACTGAGAAAGCCCGTGTTCGTCAAGGTAGACCAACTCAAGCCTGGTACCAGCGGCCACACTCTTATTGTCAAGGTTCTCGACTCCAACACTGTCTTGCAGAAAGGTCGTTCTGCTTCTCAGCATCTCCGCCACACTCGAGTCTCTGAATGCCTCGTCGGGGACGAGACTGGTTGCATTCTTTTCACTGCCCGTAATGAACAAGGTACACCTGGCTGTTTGCTTCTTTGGTTTTATTGATTTGTTAATTGTTAATTACTATTAAGTTTGTCTCGAGGGAAATCGAGCAGAAAAGATAAAAATGGTGTTATTTTTTATGTTTCTCAATTTGTGCGGCAATCAGTGTTGAGGAAACATATTCATGTGATCTTTAATGTTTTTTTTTTTTTTTGCTTCCCACTTCTTTTTGTGATCTTATTTTTCGTCGTTACTCTCATTGTGCGTCGTTTTTTTTTTGGTGGAAATGTGTGTCGTATTTTCATCTGAAGTTTTTAATGAATAAATATATATATATTTTGTCTTGGTTCATCTCGTGGTTCATTGTGAAAGCTTTGGGCTGGGGCTGTCCAGCTCAGGTTCAAGATGACGAATCGATATTTTAACTTTTTGGTTCTCATTCCTCATGTCAATATGTCAAAATCGTTTTTCGATTTTCGAATTAAGGTTTGCTTTTTCTTAGTGGTCTAGTGATGCGCTTAGTTTTAAATCAATTAAACTATCTTGAATTTTTCTTAACCTAAATATAGTGCTGATCGTGTTTAGCTGAATATCATCATTCACATCATCAACAGTGTGGCAACTGATCTAATTTTTTGTAACTGTAAGAAATTCCAGGTGCCAATAATGGCCCTGATGAGTATTTTTAGTCTATTAACGTATTGTGCATATTAGTGTTAATTTTCTCAGTTCGTGGTTTTTAATCATGAATAGATGCATTTAAATAATATAAGCAATCGAGTTTGTTTGACGCCTTTGCGATCTTTCAATATCCAAACATAAATTATCAGTTGTATTCCTCTGAATTACCATGCTGGTTCTGTTGCTATCATTCTGAACATAGGGTTGAAAGGCTTATGATAGAACCTGTTGGAAACGTTGCTGTAATATTGGCATAGTGGATGTATTATCTGATCTTGTACAAATCATTTTCATTAGTTTGCATGTGGGAACCCTGGCTTCAAGTTTTGGTTCCCTGATAGTCCTTATGCACTGCAAATGACTTGTTTTATCAGTTTTATGGTTACAAGCATTCTTTTTTAACATGAGGATCAAATGCAATTCACAATCGAGGAAATGAGTCATAAAGATGATAAAACTGATAAGCTTGGCTCATACTATGCCGTCTTGTGATGAAATTTTGAAGAATAATGTTGGTATCTTTGCTGTTTTAGTATTCATCAGTTTAGTTCATAGGTAGGCTGGCAATTCACCCTTTTTTTTTTAAGATCTACAAATCATTAAGCATATATTCTGATTATATGATTTAATACTGTTAAGTGCTAAGATCATGTTTACTTGCTTCCTATATTCAGTTGATACTATGAGACCTGGCGCCACCGTTATTCTCCGGAATGCTAAGATCGATATGTTCAAGGGATCTATGAGGCTAGCAGTTGACAAATGGGGCCGTATTGAGGTCACTGAGCCTGCAGAATTTCTGGTCAAGGAAGATAACAATCTGTCGTTGGTTGAGTATGAGCTCGTAAACGTGGAGGAGTAACTACGCTTCTTTTGGCAGCTGGCATAACATCATAACAGCAACTTAGTTTTTGATGGACACTGGTGGTTTATTTGGTCTCCTGGTATCTTGCTCTTTCCTCGCACGGAACTTTTGTCTCAAGGAAGAATTTCTATCAGGGATCAACCTATCTTTTGTATTTTAATGGGATAGCCTAGAGTTAGATTTTACCTGGGGGTGTAGGCAAAATCAGCTTCTGGACTGTCAGTATGGTTTGTTCTGTAGTCATGTAAACATGTTAGTTATTGATAATAGTATGTGCAAATTTACATATTCAAATTTCTGCTTTCCTCCTCCCAACCTTTCCTTGTTTGCCTTAATTACAAATTGCAGTTGATGGCAGGGAGTACCAATTATTATACAATTACTGATCACTGATTGCTGATAACAATTTAATTGAAGTCATGAAAGCACTTACGGAACTTGCGCAATTGCAGATTCTTGCTAGTTAAAGATATTAATTGATAAAATTCAGTGACAAAATTTGAATCTTGTGTAGGTTATGTTGCATTTGTATCGTGAATTATTTTTTACTGCCCTAGGAATGGCCCTTGACGTTAATTTAATGCAACAACCTTCATAGCGCCATCTCTGGTTGAGAAAAGTTGAACCTTAGTCAATGCTCATATCTGAGTTAATTCAGCGATCACACTCACATACTCATATAGAACTCAGGATTTCAACAGCATTTCTACAGGTTTGGTTTGAGGCTACAGTGCCAGCCAAGACCTGTTGCGGCACAGGCAATTCTGGAGTTTGTTCGAACAGCTTCAAACAGTAAATGACTGAAGCCTTTATAGCACTGTCATAGTGACCCTCTTGAACATAGTGAGCAACAGGTGGAAACTGTTTCTGTGCTAGAAGTGAATGCTGAGTACAATCATGAAGGATTCTCTTTGACTCGCCCATTGCATTCTGAAGAAGCTTGAATGTGTCGCAGAAAGGTTGTGTCCCTCTCTGCGCAAGCAATGGCTATGAGGGCCAGCCCTTGGCCATTTGCTGACTTGCTGCTAGGATCTGCTTGAACGCACTCTCTGCAAATTACTGGCTCTTCTGTTTTGCTGCACAGTGTGCTGATCAAACTCTCATCTGATGTCGCCATGGCCAGGCCGTTGAGGTTGTGGTACGAGAAGAGTAGGAAGAAGATCAGAAGATGGTCGGAGCTGGAATCCATTTTGAATTAGAATAATCTTTGATGGTTTTTCAAGGTTATATGAAGGTACCAATTTTTGATCTGTTACGACCCTCAGGATTACTTCCTTGATTTAAATTGGGCTAAGATAAAAAGATAAGGAATCTTCTATAAATACATGTATTGCAGATAATACCATAGCAATAGTGCGGCAGCGGTGCCTACTGTAATTCCTAAAGATATTTAGCAGTAAGGTTGTTGGAAATTTTGGATTTTGTTGGATTTTAGTAATCGACAATGACGATGGCCTCTTGCTTTTCATTGGGGCGTAAGAAACGGACAGACACAAATCTGGACAAGGAGAGAAACAAACTAACTGAAAAACCAGGAAAAAAAACAACAGAAAACAGCTATATGCCTAAGCAACACAGATCAGCTTCCTGAAAAAGATCAAATATTTCAAATTGTTCAGTCACTCCATATTTTCGTTGTGTACGTGTGGGAAAGGAGAAGATTCTTCACAAAGATGGGGATTTTAAGCCATTTTATTTTTATCCCCGATTCTTTTTCCCCTAAACCAATATACTCGTATGTGCACTTTCAAAAAAAAAAAAAGAATTATACCTGACACACTTGAATTGGGTGCAGTGAAATAAAATATGTGGCCACTGACAATGACGCATTTTGATTTTATTGATAACCGGTTCATTCAATAATTTATACGCATTTTTTCGGTAAGATAAAATGAACTCTTAAATCCACGTTACAATTTTACGAAGGAAAATATGATGATTGATGGACACATTATTCCCAAAGGTTAATGATAAAATAAGATGGATAATTAAATAGTCGAAACATTGTTATTATCTTTTCCTGATAATTAAACAATTAGAAATGAGAGTTAAACCAACACATGATTTGAAAAATGAGCCGCATGATGTACGCTTTAGAAAACAATGTTATGTATATGTGTGTGTGTGTGTGTGTGTGTGTGTCGAATTGATATTAATATTGATTTGGATATCATGCTGTGTAATTATACTGCGATTATTGTACTGATTCCTTGTAGATATTTTTGATAAAGCACAAAACGATAATGATGACAGGCTTGCTTGAACGTAAATTTAGCCATGGGAATTCTCGAAGTCAAACTCGTTTTTTTCTCCTTTGGCACATGTGGATGCTTGCGGAAGACTGAAAGTGGAGGGTTGAAAAGAGAATGGTTTTGGTGACCAAAAAGTTCATTCCTGTTGAAGCTTGACTCTACAGTTTTATTCCATTTCGACCCCACAAAACTGTAGTGGACTCTTTAATGTTATCGTCATTATCATTACTCGCAAGAAAAGTCTTTGATGGCCTGCTAGTGCACCAGACTGCAGTTGTTCTGCGCTTTGATATTTCCTCTCTTTTGGCTATAAAACTTTGTGGGATCTCCAACTGCTGAACACCAATCTTTCAGTTCAAAAGAGAAAGGTTTTCTAACTTCTGTGAATTCATCCTGGGAAAGGGATACTTCTGGAGATCTTAATTCATCAGTAATTAAGTTGGTCTGTTTCCAGAAAGGGCTTTGAATTCTACAGAAACAAAAGCAGCAGATAAGAGAGAATCAACAGAGGGGAGAACTATGGGAGAGTGTGAATGCAGACCACTAGGGTTCTTGATAGGTCTACCTTTTGCCCTTGCTTCCTTGCTTTTATCTTTGGTCGGTGCAGTTATTTGGATCATTGGGTAAGTTTTCTCTCCTAATATTCTTTTCCATTTTACAGGATTTTTTTTTTAAAATTTATCAACATATATTACTACGATTAAATGATCCTATTTGATATCTATGACAGGTCTGTATTGAGTTGCCTGTGCCCTTGTTGTATATGCTTTGCAGCATTAGCAAATTTCGCAATGGGACTTATCAAACTTCCAATCCAAGTGATGCAATGGTTTATTGATAAGATTCCTTGTTGATGTTCACTGATGACTCGATGCAGATCTCTCATATTTATTGAATACAGATAATCTAACTTAATTTCTATCTATTTTTTTTTCCCCAAATTGTTGATGAGGTTCTTCTTAAATTTTGTTCATTTTTAATTCTCTCTTGCACTCTTCATTTCATTGTTATATCCACTTAAGATTTATATTAGACAATATCAGAACTAGCTTGCGTTCACCTCGTAATTGGTCTCTCAGCTGAGCTGGTGGGACTTGGTTCTAATTCTTTCTTATTCCCACCGACAAATGCTAACGTTTCAAGTGGATAAGACATCACATATTATAATTTCTGATGGAAACCAGAGAAGATCATCGTAATGACTATTCGCACGTTGACTTACAAATTGACTGGATAAAGTGCATGCATTTAGGATAAGAAGAAAGGCACATCTGATCTTAAGCAGATTCAGTGAAGGGATTGCAATATTACATCACTGCTTGAATATTGAAACACTTTTTGTTTTTGATCAAGGGCTGATCTCCAAATAATTTACTACTGTACAAGGATGCATGAACTATATTGCCTCAACAACCAAGTTGTGATGCAAGGGTGGGCAACGTTGTCACCCTCCTAACGACATAACATAAAGTCCATGATGTAACCACTCTGAAGTATAATTAATTCAGAATCTCCTTATGGAATTAAGATAATGTAGCATGAAGTTTTACTTGCATCAATGGAACAACTGAAGTTTCTGCATCGTATCTTGTCTCTTGCTGGTGGTTTTGCAGGCTTGTGAGATATGTCAGCTGATGTTCTTTTTGAGTCCGCCTCTTAAGTACAAAACTATTATGAGAAATAATGATCTCTATTATGATCTTTTAGACTCTGCAGATTAACAATTAAGTTGCCCTAAACTTCAACCTCGTTTTGTGTTTCCAAAAAAAAAAAAAAAAAGAAGAAGCTGATTTCACAGTTACGTGATGTTTGATAGTGAAAGTGGTAGGACCAGTTGGATGACAAGTTCATGCACAATCCACAACTTAAGCAGCCCAGCCTACGCATAGTAATCTTATTTTAATGCACCAAAAGTCTCTTTGCTCAGTTTACCTCTGATGTCTGATGTCTGAAAGCTTATAAAACAACATAGCCTTCCAACCATCTCTCATCAAAAACATACTCAAAATTCAATCTTCACAGCCTCCAACAAACAATGGATAATTTCTTCTTGTCATTCCAACACCAGAAACACCCAGAGAAGCTCAATAAAAAGAGGCTGACTGAAGATCAAGCGGCCATCCTAGAGAAAAGCTTTGCCTGCAGAAAGAAGTTGGAGCCAGAGCAGAAATTGCAGCTCTCAAAACAACTGGGTGTGCCTCCGAGACAAATTGCAGTATGGTACCAGAATAAGCGAGCTCGCTGGAAGACACAGAGTCTTGAGGAGGACTATGGTGCCTTGCAGTTGAAGCTAGAGAATCTCATGGCAGAGAAGAAACAGCTTGAGAGAGATGTGGAAAGGCTCAAGGCCGAGCTGAAGGAGGCCAAAGAGATGTTGCTCTTCATGAAAGGTGAAGCAGAAGCTAAAACTCACAGTTCTTTCGCTGAGTTTTCATATAATTGTGAAGAGGTTATGCAGGTTGAAGAGCTTTATGCTTGTTTCATGGGTCCCAATAAGTTCCTCTGAAATTAAAGTTCCATAGGACGCATCACTCGATGCTTATTAGACTTCCTTTCTTATCGTACTTAGTAGAAGAATCAAACCTTGTGTTGACAGAAAGATAATATCGGTCTGTTCATTTGGTCATGGAATTGTGGGGTCTCCAAAAGTTACTCCATTTTTTCCTGTAAGGGGTATGCATATTGCATAAGCCTGGAAATAAAAATGACCTCCTGGCTACTGAAGGCAGCTCATGATCTTTGTAAAATCCCAAAATTTCATGAATCAATACGACGGCTTATTGCATCAGTAATCTCATTTCTATGGGGACTTGTACGCATATAAATACACAGAATTAGAGCACAGTAAATGGAGAAAAATTTTGGGTTGAGAGGTTAACTTGCTCCGGTCATTTGTATGTCCAGCCATTTTGTTTCTTTGAAGAAGTGCTTATTAAAATAAAAAGAACGGAATCTGAAATTAAATGCTGTGCACTAGATAGAAAATAATACTCCTTATATCAAAGACCTAATTATTGAGTTGATTTTGATACTAAATATAAAGTTTATTTTTTATATTTATTAGTTCTTCCTAAATTACTCTTATGGATATTCCCTCAATTATAATCAAGTAAAAAAGAGAGTAAGGATATTAAGAAGATGATTATGGTGTTTTAAGAAAACATGTCATATTTTTTTATAATTAACTAACTTATCTAAATTTTTTAATCTAATCAAATTAGTTAGACAGGTCTTATATTAAAGATAGAAGGAGTAATATTTTACATATTTTATTTTTTTTGGTACAAAATTTGCAATATTTTAAACTACATGTTTTAATATGGTAAATTATTTTTCGGGGCCACTGAAAATACCGTTTTCGTAAATATCACGGGGGGCGAGCGGGGCTACGATTTAATGATTTACTGAAGCGCTCGCGCTCCCTCCAAAATTCCATTCCACTCGGAGCGGGCAAGGGTAGGTGATCGGAGAGCCATGGCGTCGAGCTCACATGCCAGTGGCGTTAGTGGAAGAATAAGAAATGCTGCTTCGACTTGCTGCTCGGATAATCTGTCTCTCATTACTGTAACTTCCCCTCTCGTTCAACCTTTGTTTAATTCCTTTTTCCCTTGATTGCGGATGCGGAATGCTTGTTCAACTCTGAGAAGCTGATTTTCCTTTGCCTTTTTCCATTCTCAAAGTGGAAAATATATCATCTCTTGATCCCGTTATCTTACGGAATACGGAATTAGTTTCTTGACTGAGTGGTTTCTTGCTTGCTAAGAGCTCAAGTTTTCTTTTCGAAAGCTCATGCTTTTGATCGTTTCTGTTGTAAAACCCTCAATTTACTATGTTAGTGACACTTGCATTGGAATTCTTGTCCGAAAAATTCCTAAATGTGGAAAATATCTCCCCCTTTGGAAGCTGAGATCAGTGAGCAAAGATTGCTTCTGTAAAGGAAGATAGTTCATTACGATGTTTCCTTCTTAATTTTTCCCAACGAAGTTTTGGCTTTCATTTGCTGGGTTGTGCTTGATTCGGTGGCATCCTGTGTTATTTTTCAGGATACCCGAAGGATTATTGGTTTGGTGAAGGAAATTGCAGTTGATTTGGAGAAAGATAAGCAGTCTGATATGGTACTCTAAATATCATTTCTTTGTATTTAATCTCATTGTTTCCTTTTCCCCCTGCTTTCTTGTTTGACAATGATGCCAGGAGAGAAGCATGAAAGTCTGAATTAATACTGCCATTACTGAACTATTTGGTTCTACAAATGATTATGTGGAGAGAATTTATTCATTTTCTAATGATAAAGAATCTTTCTGTTACTGAATTGTGATTCAAAGATGATGGAAGATCAAGCATTTCTGCGTTATTTACATATGATAATTGTAAAATATTTAGGTGAAGGAGCTTGAAGATGCAGTTGTGGAGTTATTGGACAAATCTGAAGATTTTGCACATTTTTCATCTGCGATTCAGTCTGTTGCTGACAGATACCAGCCAGGAGAAGAGGTTTTTGGTCTGCATTTAAGTTCTTTTGTTTGTCTGATGACGTCTTGTCTTCTAACCCCCTCTTTTCTGCAAAACCTTGTTTATTGATTTTCGATATGCAGTTGACTGATTTTAAGAAGTTGTTCGAGGAGGATGCTTCAAAGGTAAAGGCCAATTCATCTTCAGATCCGAAAAGGAATCCCTTAATGCGCCAATTTAAGGAAGCTGTTTGGGTATGTTACTCAACAGTCTTAAATATAATAGTTCATATATTTCTGAGGCTATAGGATTTTCCTGTTTGAAGTTCATGCCATAAAATGATTAATAGAAATGGAGTTGAAAAGTTGGAAAACCTACCACTTATCTAAAATTTAGATTTTTTTTTTTTAATTCTAGCATAGATTTTAACTGCCTGTCTATGGTGATATTCAAGTGCTGCCTCTGATAAGTATATTTTTCTTGCAATGACATTGATTGTCATTGTTGTTGTACTGGGCTGAGTGCCTCGGTCAATAGTAGGACTTTTCAACTTTATGTCATGAATGTAATCTGCTGTGGATGTTTCTGTGTAAACTGTTATATGATTATCTTGTTAATTAGGAAAGTTGTTTGTGGCACATATGCAATAATGTCAGACTACTGGTACTCAAACTTTTATTCTATTGGGCTGTTATTAAGCTGAATTCCTGCGGGTATCTAATTTATATGCCTTTTGTGTTTTGCGTTAGAATGTTCATCATGAGGGCCAGCCAATGCCTGGTGAGGAGCAGGAAGACATTGTGATGACCAGCACACAATCTAATATTTTGAATACGAAATGTCCAATTACTGGGAAGCATGTCACTGACCTTGTGGAACCTGTTCGAAGGTACCATATGATCAAATTCAAAACATATGTTTCCCTTAATAATTAAATAGCATAAAATGCATGCATGTGTATGCACCTCTTCATTTGATTGGTTGAGGGTGGATAGATAGATGAACTTTAACCTGCATATGGTGGGAGCAAATGACTGCGTCATGTCAACTGGACAAGCATGATGTTTAGTCACGCCGGCTCTGTTCTCTGTGTGCTCGGCAGCACATTTACCTTTCAGGAAAGTGCTCGTTGGCACAGTTAAGTAGGGCTTCGTGTTGACTCAAATTTCAAGCAGACATTGGGGTATTATAAGAATCGATCCTGCTGCTACATAACATATGAATCATCTATATTTCGAGGGACCTCCATTGCCTCTATCCTTTTTCCCACTATGCTCCTACATTCCCTCACAAATCCCACATTTTCTAAATTGGTAAAAGTCAAGTCCCTTGCATGTTGAAAGTCCAGAAGAATTCCTGGATATTTATAAACCTAGAAGTCCCTAAGTTGTATCTGTTGGAGAGTACATGCCTTGGAGATGAAAGGAGGCTTCATGGTGAGGGATAGAGTTATATTACCATGTCTCCTGCTTCTCCTTGATAGTAACATTGCTGTGAAATAAAGTTTGTGAAATGGTGAAATTAGTGTTTTTGAACTACCAACGACCAAACATTTTGTCCTCAAGGGCTTAGGCGTGGATGCACATTGATATATATTTTATATGCAGCTTACAATTTTCTTTTTATTTCTGCTCCATCTATGCATCAACGCAGTATGGAGTGTAGGCATGTATATGAGAAGCAGGCAATAATGCAATTTATGCGATCAAAGCACTCTCGTGTTCCATGCCCGGCAACAGGTAGATCATTGAATTCTGGTAGCCTCCATGTTCTATGCTGCCCTGCAAAAACCAAAATTTGTTCTTTTTGTCAGGTTGCCCAAAGTTCTTAAAGGTAGATAAGGTGGTCTCCGATCCGTTGTTACTGGTTGAGATTGATGAAATGCGCAGAATGGGAAAAGGACCTGGTTCAGTTGAAGATTTTACCGGGCTAGATGATGATGAGTGACTGATGAAACTAATCACAGAATTTTTATTGTGAATTTTGATAGAGTTAAACCTCCAGCTCCACCAGGATACGTGCTTATCACTTCTGCTGTTGATATGTGTGTGTGTGTGTGTGTGAGATCTGTACAATCAGGAATTAGCGTGATAGTCTCCGCATTCTAGACTGTTGTTTGAAGTTGCTGCGACTTGCGAATCTGCAACATGCAAAGGCCAATCATGAGTGACGGTTCCTTAGTGCATACACTTGAAGATCATTGGTAAACAACTCCATCGCGTAGTGGGGATGACACTTTAATATCGCACATAATGATCATCAACCTGTGACTAGATTTGCCATTTTCACAAAGCTACTAACATTTAATAATTTATCTTGGATGACATGGAAAATCGACTTTTGCACTATGACTATAATTTATACACGTACACAGAAGATCTAAATGAGTCGTGCTAATTTTAGTTTGGGAGCTGTTCAATTCTTTTTACTTTTTTATATTTTATAACACTCCATGGAATGTAATCAATAAAGAAGTGTTTAACTTATAAATAACTTTTATAATGCATGCTTGCTTATTTTGAGCCACTTTTGAATGTTAAATAACTGTAGTATTAATATAGAATGACGTCCAACGTTACACAAATTAGATCCATCATCCATGGTTGATGTGTTTGAGGTTTTTTTTTTGTTTTATTTTTTTTGTGTTTTTTTTTCTGGGGGGGGGGGTGGTGTTGTCAATAGAACTTAATAACTAGTTCTTTGTTATACATGCCAATAGCGTGTTAAACTAGATACTTCCCAAGCAATGCTCGAGCGAGATTAGTTTTTTTGTAATATTAATTATACCAATTTTTTTAACATTTAAATCTTGTCGAAATTCATGAAAAACGTAAATGAAGGAAAAATTGCATGCAATTCAACATATATATGAAGATCACAAGATTAATAAAAAACAATGAACTAAGAAGGATAAGAATGAATAATGTGACTTACAAGGTTTAGGAGGAGTTTGTGAACCACACAAGAGCCACTTTAAAAAAAATATTTCTATGTAAGTTGAAATAAAATTTTTTGTAAAATTATTTTGAAAAAGCTAATCTAAATACTTTTATAATAGTGACATTTTTTTAAAGATTAATATAATTTTTGGTCCTTCAAATTTGTTGTCATTTTGCTTTTGGTTATTCAAATTTCAAAAGATAAGTCTTGGTCTCTCAAATTTTTTTATTTTAAAATATTAGTCTTTATAATCTAATAAAAATATAGATCATGTTGCCTCTTCAAGAACTAAAACCTATAGTTTGAAACTTGAAAAACTAAAACCAAAATAAAGGCAAATTTAAGGGATCAAAAATTATATTAATATATTTTTTAAATAAAATTACCTAAAACTAAATCATATCGAAGTACTATTATGTCTGATTGACTAATTCTCTCAACATTGACTAATTCTCTCAACATAATTTTAATTTTAATATTGATATTAATTTTAGTATATTGTTAATTTGTAAGTAATGAGGATGAGAATGCCAGCGGGGATTTTGTGGGGGGGGGGGAACCAAGAAAAACATAAATTTCCGTCCAACGGGACGATTGCATGTCGATCCTCGTCCTCCACAACTCCATTACTTTTCTGATATGTGTCCGCGCACAAGCGAGTGATATCGATAATGGCGATTTATAGATCACCTTTGAGCAAGGTTTTCTCGCACGGTTTAGTTTCTGGGTCGCCTCTTAGTCTTATCCCGAACCATCTCTCGCTTCACAGTACTTCACCCCGTCCGTTGCGGTCGCTCACCCTCTTTGCCTCTCTTTCTACTACTTCCCACGATGCATCTTCTTGCAAGGCTGATTTTCGCTGGAAACCTATGTGCTTGTACCACACGCAGGGCAAGTGCACCAAGGTATAAGCTTCTTTCACTGCCCATTTTTGTATTCCCCATCTACATTCTCCAGCGGAGGCTGCGTTGAAATCTTTGTTGGACCTCAATCCTGAAGTTGTTAGTGATAGATTTTTCTGGGGTGTTTTTTCCCTTACCCGTGCTTGTTTGTTTTGGTTTCTGGAAAATTAGATTATGGTATGCTAATGTCACGTGTGGTACTTATAAACCTTCGTTTGCGTGCCACGTGTTTGATAAATTGTCTTCAAAAGTTAATCATCGATTGGACTTAGCTGTGTAATCGTCACCTTACTGTATTTACGAAAATAAAATGTCCGAAGTCGTGTCTCGATGAGATGGTTTCCTTAGACCGGTCAGGCCTTCTCAAGTTCTTGTTATTGTTCAATTGCTCAGTTGTGAGAACTCTCTCTCAATTTGGACGTAGCTTAAATTGTTTACATTCGGTGATTCCAAGGTCAGCACTTTCCTGGAGAGTGAACCGAGTGCCATCAAATGGACATGCCATTGTCGTGCACTCGATATATTAGCTTGATTTTGCACTACCATAGTCAATCATATGCTTCGAACCAGAAATGATAGTGTTGCGGAAGGCTTGTTAGTTTCGTTTAATCGCGATGATTCCTCAAAACTATCTTGCCATACTGATCTGGCATCATGTTTAGTTCCTAAATGTTTAGTAAATATAAGAGTAAATTTTTGAAGAAAACTGTTGATTTGAATCGATTAGAGTATGATTGGTTCCTGGAACATAATTCCTGCCGCATAGGAACTGAAAAATCTGTCCCTGCAGAAAGTTTAAATTTTGTATAACATTGGTTTTGTCAATCCAAATTTGCAGACTGACGATCCTATTCACCTAGAGAGGTTCAATCATGATTGTTCACGGGAGCTTCAATTGAATACCGCTGATTTACACAAAATCTGCTCTCAAAACTATGACTTTTTCCTCGTGCTTGATTTAGAGGGTAGGGTTGAGATTCTTGAGTTCCCAGTTCTAATGATTGATGCAAAAACATCGGAAGTTGAAGACATTTTCCACAGGTTTTAATCTGCCACCTTATAGCATGTCTAGCAGGGTAAAGTTGTGTGACTAGTCGCGATGCTTTTTTTATATTTAGTTATAAATTGCTATTTATTTTGCAACTTTAATAGTTCTAACAAAATGTTCAATGTTAGAGGAATAGCTTGTGCACATGCATTTCTTGGAGAGTTGTAGTGATGCTAAATACAACCATTATCAAGTGCTTTAGAAATGCTCGATTGGTTAAATGCAATTGTGGGTTCTTGATTTGGACATTTAAATACAACAGCTGGATTGTTTGTCTAGCACCATACAAAGAGATTAACATAAATCCATGTTGTTTCTTGGCGTAACTTGTTTTAACTTACAATGAACATACGAGGGAAGAACCTTCATTTTTTTAAAGATTCATTCAACTTACAATCATTCTTTTCTGCTTACCAGGTTTGTAAGGCCCTCAAAAATGAGCGAGCAAAGAATAAATGAATACATTGAAGGAAAATATGGAAAATTTGGAGTTGATAGGTATTTAGTTTATTTTACTTTAATATATCCGTATTCATACGTGCATTTTGCATAAATTCTTAACCTTTTTTTGACAGCTTCTCTTCAATTTGTTGCAACAGTCCAGGATACTTAAGATTTCGGCTGTTAAATATTTAGATGTTAAGTTTATTATAAAGCATTGTTGTTCTGATTCATTCATGATACTCTTTCTTTTTCAAATTTGATTGTATATATTTTTTTTTGGAAGGGTTTTTTGAACATTGCAACTGGGAGATTCATAGAACATTTTTATTTTCAGGGTTTGGCATGACACAGCCATACCATTTAATGAAGTTGTTCAACAATTTGAGGCTTGGTTGGCACAGCATCATTTGTGGATGGGCGGAAAACTCAATCGAGCAGCATTTGTAACTTGGTGTGTTTCATCAGTATCCTGTTCACCCCACCGTCTTTCTGGTTTTCTTCTTATTATTCATATTTTATTGTTTTCCATGTGTTCCTTAGTAACTAGATTCAAATCCCACGGGTGAATGCGTGTAATGGTTGCAAATTTCGGTCACATTGATTTATTTGATAGAGAACCTATTATTTCCTTTCTTTGGGCCCGCAAGAACCTGTGCGATTTCCTCCCATATATAGATCTTTTTCTCTCACAATACATGCCATTCTTTTGCTTTTGCAGCGGAAATTGGGATTTGAAGACAAAAGTCCCTCAGCAATGTGAAGTGTCAAAGATAAAGCTCCCTCCTTACTTTAGGGAGTGGATTAATATAAAAGATGTCTATCTGAACTTTTACAATAGAAGGGTAAGTTTCAACATTTGAAGAACTACGGATAGTATACAAGAATACTAGCTGTAATAGAGCTGCTACAAAACATGAAAAATTACAAGAAGCAGTGAGGCTAAATTCTGAAAATAAATCAGGAACTAAAACAGGCTAGAAAAGAGAAGAAAATGCCCGAACTAATTCCTGCAAATAACTAGATGATGGACAATGAATAGGATGAGCTGTCAACAAGACCCTGATTTGTTAACAAGGTAGATTGACCCTTGATCCAAATGTTTTATTTTTAACGAGAAATTAATTATATAACTAAATACATTTTCCCATGTATTACGCAGAGTCTAAGATAAATTGCTATATTCATTATTTAGAAATACTGTGACTAATTATTGTTTTTGTATGATATATTGGTCCATTTTAAATTTCTTTGGTAATGGATAACAGGCCACTGGAATGGTTACAATGATGAGGGAGCTAAAGATACCGTTGTTGGGAAGTCATCATCTTGGCATTGATGACACAAAGAACATAACAAGAGTGCTACAGCGCATGCTTGTAGATGGTGCATTCATGCAGATTACGGCAAGGAGGAATCCTAATTCTCCTGGAGATGTCAACTTCTTGTTCAAGAACCGAATCAGATAGTGTAAATTTAATTGTTGGAATCTGTTAGTTTTTTAAACTTCTCAGGAGAATCTAACAGATTTAATGGTTTAGTTCAGTTAAGATCTTGATTTTATTCAAGAGAGTAATTCCATATTGCAGTTATAGCCTTATAGGTTTGTAGAGTAGAATTACAGGGATGACTGTGATTCTGGGAACTTCTGCAAGGCCGCTGATATTTACAAAAGGACGTCCGCATTTTGTCAAAGCACCATATTAGGTCAAGACTTACTTGTATTTGATTCTTTATAAAATTAAAGAAACGAATAATATGCCACAGAAGAAACAAAAATTAAAGCAAATCTCTTTCAAATATTAAGGTGTTCGGTCGCTCCCCCCCCCCCCCCCAAAAAAAAGAAAATCAATATTCCATCTTCCATGCTTCAATTTTATATATAACACTATTAGATCATATTTAAATATTATTAGATTTAATAATTACAATAACTTATTTTGTATAATTTTTATTCATAAAACTCGAAATTTCAAAATTTTCAAGAAAAATTGACTTCATTTCGCTCAACTAAACCATCATTAATAATATTTGGCGTTTTTAAAGTTTAACCGCAAGTTCTCTTTTTGTTGAAGTTGACCTCTCAAATACATTTAAAAAACATGTGAAACAAGTAAATAGTAACTAACTATTTAAAATGTTTTTATATTAAAAATATCAATTAAAAAATTAATTACCGTGAAGAAGATTGCTATTCAACTAAAATTAAATTGATTGATTGATGATTGATTACAAACAGATGCCTCTTTTTAAATAAGCGATCTAAGTTCAGTGTTAATTTATTTTTTTTAAAAAAGTGGGCATAACGACTAAAAATAATGGAATAATTAGTAGGAAGAATCAAGATTTGAAGGTGCATTGCAGATTCTTGCAGGCCGTTTAGAGATTCCTGAAAGTTTTCTAAAACTCAATGGCAAATCTATAATGTTATTGACTTTCAAGACTTTATTCTTCTCCCAAAATTAACGGAAGAAAAATCACACTAAATGGTCAACTCAGAGTCAATCATATTAAAATAATACAATTTAATTAAAAATAACAAAATATAACAGTAATAGTCACCAATAACAAAATAGAAGGAAATATAACAATAGCTTAATTATAATAATAACAAAGTATAATGACAATGACAATTTTGATCATTATAATTCATTAATAACTACTAAAATTAATAATTATTGATACCAAAATCGTCATTAAAATTCATTCAAATCCATAGTGAATAAGATATTAAGAACTGAATGAGAAAAAATAAAAAAAAAAAGGACGAATATCAACATAATCATTTAAATCAATTCATTACCAGTTCATACCGGTCCCCCTCTAACTTAACTAGTTTGACATCGGTTTAACTCCTGCCTGATTCAACGCCTAAATCAAACTAGACCACTGGCATGTTCACTAATTTTCGGTTGAATCAGCTGGTTCAGTCCATTTTTATTCCTTGCTCAAAATTTCTCTCAAAATACATATTATCTTTAGTCCTAAATATAAGATCTAGTCCTAATTTTTTTTTGTCTCTCATATTTATTCATGTTTTCACAAAGTAGTCCTTATGGTGATTATACATGTTAAAGGATTTTTATTTTATTACACATGATTAACATGAGTATTTTAAAAAAGATAATACACATTTACTACAAAATAATTAATTTTTAATATTTACAAATTAGTCATCTAGTTTTTATATTAAGAGCCAATATAGTATTTTATAACGTAATATATTTTATTTAAATTAGTTATATTTTTATGTAGTTACTCTAACTAATTATATACTTCTTAACTAATCAATCTAATTTCTCTAACTGATGCCCTTTATCGAAAATAATTTTAATATTTTATAAAATAATTAACTTCAACTTCACTTTATTGACACTTTATTGATTTGTATAAACCTATTATTAAATATTCACAATAAGAAGTTATGAACAGGAAGGAGGTTTTTTTTTTTCCTCTTTAAATCCTTATGCACATCTTTCTAAATTTCATTGCTCTAACCTCGGGAGTTTTTCTTTTGTGTGGGGGGAGAGGGTGTCATTGTGGGAGAGACAATAGAGCCACTTGTCAAAGTGCCGAATGTGTAGAAAATAGTTCAGCAAATGTTGAACAACCTATTACATTTCACCTGTTTCAGAAGTAATGACACATTTTTGCTCATTTCCCCCATTATAGATGCATCACATGTCATTCCCTTTAATTTTGTCTCATTATAATTGCATTTAGAAGACACCATCTTACCACAATACAATTCAATTATAATTTTTTTCCCGGGAAAAAAACACAGACACACACACAAAGTAGTCCCCACCAATTAAAAAAAACAAAGTCCATGTAATTTTTGAATTTTTAAGAGAGCCGTTGCCCTTTTTAAAAAAAAAAAAAACAGGAAAGCAAGCAGCTCACATTCCTCCCAATGCCCTCCCTCCAATTTGCATGTTGGTGTCATGCATTGTTTTTGCAAACTCCTATATTTGGCGGCAATACTTAGTTGTCTCAAAAATAAATTACACAAAATTTAGTGAAAATACTCCAATTATTGTGTCTATTGCAATTCTCTCTGCCAGCGCGTGTCTTTACAACCCCGTGGTATTCGGCTCATCAACGGCCCAGATTTCTTCTTTCTGACCTAACCTCGGGGTCTTCATCACGCAGCTCTCACGCGCGTGTTCATCAGCTCTGAGAATATCAGCGAAAACCCTCTCTGTTATTCAGTCTCACGCCCTCGCCTGCCCTGGGAGTAACAGCAACACAGCAATTTCTGAGAAGAAAAGCCCTGAAAAAAAATGGATGAAAGCTTTTGGGAAACCATACGGAAAAACCCTGTCGTCATGGAAGCCCTTTGAATCCTGGGAAAACTTCAGAGCAAAAGCTTCGCCAATTCGATTTCTAGGGTTTCGGTTTTTCTCTCATTTTTTTCTTTCTATCTTGGATCACCATGCCCGCTGTAACTTGGGTGTGTGTGATGTTTTTCTTCTCAATCAGCGTGTAGTTGATCGCCCAATTGGACGACGAAGACAGTCGATCAATACCTTTTTGCTACGTCTGCAAGTCTTTAGCTGTAAATAATCGTATATAAGCTCGCAGATAAAAAAGAAAAGAACAAGAAACCTGGGTAGATAGTGTTGGCTTCCCTGTCTTGACATGCGATTATCGCCCGCTTCCGGTTCGTCATTGGACCAGAGGAGACTTGATCGATCGGGGTCGCGGCTTCGGAAGAAGCACAAGAGGCTAGACGCAATATGCGAAAGGGAATATAATCGGAACCATAGTGAATTGAATGATGACGGTGATGGGGCTGGTACTTCGGGCGCTGATACAGAGCTACGCCGCAGCTCAAGGGTTCGGCGAGCTCCAGTTGTGCTCGATGCCTCTCCTCCTCCCCTAAGAAACGGCGGAAGTTAGGTAAGAATGTAATGCTGAGTAGTGTGAGCGATGATAGGAGCCCAGCACATGCGAACCAGAGTCCTGGGGAGGTAGAGTGTCCAGGAACATGGAGTTCAAGGTTGAGATCCAGGGTTAAAAATGTAGGTTTCACGGTGAAGGGGCAGAGGGAATCCCCGAGTGGTAAAAGGAAGCTGTTTGAGGATATGGACGATAGCAGGGACAATGGAAAACCGGAGGTTCCAGAGATTAATAAGAAAGAGGAATTAGAAGGTGGGATGCCGAAGGTCGTTAAATCAAAAAGACCAGGGAGGATCAAAGCAACAAAACATGCTGAAGAGCATACACATAATGAGTCTCATGGCAACTTGGATGAGAGCAAGAGTCAAGAAGTGGAGCTTATTTTGAGCCAAGATGAGGAGGATGCTTCAATTTCAGGATCTAAATTGTCTGATGAGAATGTAGTGGAAATGGTGGATGGGGATACCTCTCCAAAGATGGAAACCAGCCAGAGAACCATATGTGATAATTTGCAGTCACAGGAGTTTAATGGTAATGTTGAATTGCCTCCAGTGTTACATGTAGATAAATCTGTTGATCAATTGGAGAGTGCGAAAGAAGGTGAAAATAGAAGAGACGCTGTAGAAATTGTTGAGAATCTGACAAAGCAAGTAGAAAATGAAGGATCTATCAATAAGGAATCTGCAGCTGACGAGAAGACCTTGCAAGATGAAAATATTGTAAAAATAGACAAGCCCAAACAAGCCTCAAATGATATAACTGACCAACCACGTATTAGAGAAGGCAGAAGGTGTGGTTTATGTGGTGGAGGGACTGATGGTAAGCCTCCAAAAAGGTTAGTTCAGGATAATGGTGAGAGTGAGAATGAGGCATATAGTGGGTCATCAGCATCTGAGGAGCCTAATTATGATCCTTGGGATGGTTTTGGTGATGAACCTGGCTGGCTTGGGCGTCTCTTAGGTCCTATTAACGATCGCTATGGTATTGCTGGGATATGGGTTCATCAGCACTGTGCTGTTTGGAGTCCAGAGGTCTGTTTAAAATCTAGTGTATTTATAATCCTGGTTTGCATCATGAAACTCTGCATATGTGGGCTTCACATGGGTTTAGTATTATAATTACGGCTTAACAGGACTGATTTGCTAAATTGTTACTTGTAAATTATACAGCAGATGACGCAGGGCTAGCTGACTTCAGGAGATGCGTGCTTAAAGAAGACAAAATGTTAACTTGATTGTAATTCTTAAACTGAAGTTATTTGAGGATTCTTAAGCATAGCTTTCCCCTTCTCCTCCATTGGCTAAAACCATGGGTTCTTGCATTTTCTGTGATAAAAGCTCCTATGTTATGTAATCCTTTAATTTATAGGTGATGTTTCGATGCAAAGGAAATTACTTATCAATGTAATGACTACCTTAAGAAGCTCATTAGCTGAATTCTAAAAGAGAATCCATGAAAGTAATTCTAGGTCAATGGATGAAAATCAATTTGAATGTTTCACTTGAACCAAATACCCCCAAAAGCAGTATGTATACATATATGGCATAGAATCATAAAGCTGCCTAAACCTCAGAAGCTAATCAGGAAGAAGTTCTCATAAAAGTTCCTTCCAAATGGATGTGGCTTCCAGGCTGTTGTTTCCAACTTTAAATCATAAAGAATAGAGGGAAGATAAAGAATTCTTTGGAAAGCCTTCATAAGCGGAGGCTTATGTTATATATTTGCAATAGAGTGGAGGTTGGATTGCTTGAAATACAACTGGTGCGGGACTTTATAAGTGTAACTAAATATGGAAGATATACTGTTACTATTCAAAATAACTAATGATATTCAGACACTACATAATCATCATAGTAGGATTGAGCTTGTACTTAATTTCTTGTTCGC